GTAGGAAGCCCGATGCGGGACTCGATCCCGGGACTCCAGGATCATGACCTGAGCCGAAGGCAGTCGCCTAACCAACTGAGCCACCCAGGCGCCCAAGACATGTTTTTTTTTAAGCAGTACAGAAATTTGTAAAGTAAAAGGAGAATTTTCTCTTTGGCCCTCACTGTCTCCTCCTCCCAGAGAGGAGACCTACTGACTTTCTGCAGTCAGATGTTTCCTGTGCCGATGTAAACGCACAAATACACAGAGCACCCTGGCTGGGGTATGTGGAGGATTGTTTTACCACGGGCGAACCGTTGACACATGACTGAATGATACCCTAGTGACGCCCTAGGGAGAGCCGACCTAGAGGAACTTCTTGTGGGTTTACAGTAGGTCATTTTTGTTGACCTTGAAGTTGTTAGTTAGGTCTTGTCATTTTTTTATACTTAACGGTACTTGAAGTCAAGAAGGTGGGAGTATTCTCTAGTGATGGTTCTAAATTTTATTTTATTTCTTTTTAATTTATTTTTTAAAGATTTTATTTATTTGACAGAGACACAGTGAGACAGGGAACACAAGCAGGGGGAGTGGGAGAGGGAGAAGCAGGCTTCCCACTTGAGCAGAGAGCCCGACGCGGGCTCAATCCCAGGACCCCAGGATCATGACCTGAGGCCCAAGGCAGATGCCCAACGACTGAGCCACCCAGGTGCCCCTAGTGATGGTTCTAACGCAAGTTTTTGCCAGGGATTTATGGGACAGCGTTTGGGACTCCCCTACATACCTGATCGCTTCTTCACAAAGTGTGATGTCTGGCACACAGGAGATGACGTGCCAAATGGGATTCTGCTTCATTCCTCAGGCAGAAGAAGCGCCTGTAGGTTTTGTGGCTAGTTAGCCCACCCTCGCTGGCAGGGCGTGGCTCTGGGTCTCTGCAGAGATGCGAGGGAAGAGCTGTGCTGGGAACCCGGGAACCCGGTCACACAGGCTTTGCTTCCCAGACTGCCCGCCCTCCTACCTCCCTGTGACTAGTTGGGAGTTGGAACACTGCCCGCCTCACCCCTTGCCTTTCCAGCTGGTCCGCCTCGGCCCGCGTTCCTTAACCTTGCAGACTGTGGATCAGGGCCCCAAAAGGCGCCCATGGTGCCTCCCTGGGACTGTGGCGCCGGCTCCAGGGATGTGGCCCAGGGAGAGTCTGCGCTTCTGGGGCTGGCCTTTCAGAGCCACGTGGCTACGGTTGACCCCATGGCGGCCTCCCCAGCGCTCCTGTTAATGGACAGGTTAGTGGTTGCAGTCTTGCCTTTCTTGCTTTTGTAATCGGAGGCCTCACTGGAGCGTGGTTTTCGCCGTGTGTGTAGGGTTTAGTATGATTTAGCCATCCCCCCGCCCCCCTGGGGCAGAGTTGTTTCTTTGGGTAATCCTCGGTTTAAACTGGGTGTGGTCCCAGGAGCTCTGGGGCCTGCGTTTGTATACCGCAGGTGGTATCTGATGCTCACTACACTCCCCCGTGTTGACTGTTACTTCTATTTTTAGGGATCGGCTTTTTAAAGATTTAATTTATTTATTTGACAGAGAGAGACAGAGTGAGAGAGGGAACACAAGCAGGGGGAGGGGAGAGGGAGAAGCAGGCTCCCCGCTGAGCAGGGAGCCCGATGCGGGGCTCGATCCTAGGACCCTGGGATCATGACCTGAGCCGAAGGCAGACGCTTAATGACTGAGCCACCCAGGCGCCCCTAAGGATCAGCTTTTTAGCATCAGATACTACTTGGGTAACATTTTCTGAAGGAAGAGAGACGCCAAGTGTTTCTAGCTCTTGGGTACTTTTAGTCCTGTGTGGAACTAGGAATTTTGAGCCTGCTGTTTGGTCACAGTAATAACACCTCAGTGTGTGTGTCTCACTCACCTCGTATTTCCTGTAGGGGAGGAGATTTTGTTCTGGCTTTGTGGAGTGCGGTTTTGTGTTTTGTGTTTCTGTGACAGCTGAGTGGGCTGGCCCTTGCCGTGGGGTTTTCAGAGCAGAGTTAGGCCCCGTGGAAGTGTACGTGGCCGTAGAGTGTGCCAGTTTTTGAGGGCTGGAGATCTGGAAGAAATACCTAATAGGCTTTAGAGGAATCATTCAGGAGTTTTGCCTTCTCTGCCCCAGGGGAGTGCCAGGATTTATATGTTCCTTCAGGAGCACATTCCTTGACCTCACCGAGACTCAGTTTCCCATCTGTGCCATGTCGACTCTAATACCTCTCTGAGAGGATTCAGACCGGGTGGTGTTTCCATGTGATGATGACACGCCAACAAGGACTTCTGTGCTGAGTTCCATCCCTCACGTGGAACGTGTGTGACGGGCCTGGTGCAGTATTAGGCACCAGACAGGTGCTCTGTGAAAGGTGAGTGTGGCTCAGAAAACGGTGGAGATGCCCATCTGTTCTGGGAACTGAATGTGAGGTGTGTTAGCGTATTTCTGATGACTTTGGAATGAGCTTTGGAAGGTCTCGTTTGTCAGTGGGACAAAAGAGGGAAAGAGCCAGAAGCCCCAGGGAACTATTATTGAATTAGAAGCAAGAGTTCAAATGTACAGTCTTGAAGGAGGAGGACTTTGGAGGTTTATTTTCCAAGATTCCGAGAGAAGTTTTGAGAAATCCGGTGAGTGTGGCTTGCAGAACCTGCTCCACCGGGTCAGGGAGGATTGCGTCCTTCCACTCCTGCTGCCCTCTGCCAGGAAGCAGCCTCGGATCCTCAGGTCCAAGTCTTGGTTCTCTGTTGCTTAGCTGTGTGTCTCTGGGCGGGACTCCCCAACCTCCCTGAATCCTGGCTTCCTGTCCTTTAAGTGGAATAATTCTTGTGTGATCGTTCTGAAAATTCCTCCAAAAAGCATGCATTCAATACATATGTTTTCCTATATGCCAGGAACTGTTCTTTTTTTTTTTTAATTTATTTGACAGAGAGAGAGAAACAGCATGAGAGGGGATAGGGTCAGAGGGAGAAGCAGGCTCCCCGCTGAGCCGGGAGCCCGATGTGGGACTCGATCCCAGGACTCTGGGATCATGACCTGAGCCGAAGGCAGTCGCTTAACCAACTGAGCCACCCAGGCGCCCTGCCAGGAACTGTTCTAGATCCGAGAAGAACTATAGTAAATAGAAGAGATAGGATTCACTTGTCGTGGACTTCACATTCTGCTGATGAAGGCACAGGAAGTAACAAGCTGATCATTCTCAACTTGAAATACACTGGAGTGCTTGCTCTCTGTGGGGCACTGTTCTAAGTGCTTACCCTCAGCACACACTTCAGGGGCTTTGAAATACACTGGCGCAGGGACCCAGATCCAGCACCTCATCTTTGTTGTCAGCTAGCCTCTTAGATTGCTCCTGAAATCACCCTATTTTGACTTCAGTAATGTCTGGAAGTGAAGTAAGTGGGGGTGGGGCTGAAAGTAATACCTCAACCCCACAGCATCTAAGAAGAAAGGGGGTCGGTCCTTGGACTATACTGTTTCTTGTCGAAAAGCGGAGAGATGGAACTTTGGGTAGAAGTCCTTGCTGGAGTGCCCTCACATGGAATCATGAGGTTTTGGCTTCAAAAGTCAAAACATGACAGTGTTGGAATTGTGATGTTAGTGATGCTTAGCCTTCAGGACTCCTCACTTGTGCCTAATTTTGTCTTTATAATTAAGCATAATTTTCTTTCTCAAGAGGATTCCCTGGGGCACCTGGGTGGCTCAGTCAGTTAAGCATCTGCATTCGGCTCAGGTCATGATCTCGGGGTCCTGGGATCGAGCCCCGCGTCAGGCTCCCTGCTCAGCAGGGAGTCCGCTTCTCCCTCTCCTGCTGTCCCTGCTTGTGCTCTCTTGCTTGCGCTCTTGGTCTTAAATAAATACATAAATAAAATCTTAAAAAAAAAAAAAAGGATTCCCCAAAGTGAATAAGCTTCAAGGCCCCCTAAAGCCCGGATCTGGCCCTGCAGGCAGGTGGGGGGCACGCTGCGGTGGCAGGTACGCTGAAGCCGGGCCAGCAGACGGGCCAGGTGCAGCGTGGCCCACCCGGGAGCCGCGGCTTCGCTCCGGCTCTGGTTGTGCGGGAACACGTGCCCACGGGGCCAGATCTTGCAGCCCTTCAGGAGAAGCCAGAGACCCCGGGTTTTATTGTGATTTCTCGATCAACACAAAATGTTAACAAATATCTCAAACTGGAAAACACCGTGTACAGAAAACACAGGCTACCGGTGCGTCCTCTCTCCCGGTGGTCCCTGCACACACGCCTGCCCTGGTGGTTTGTGTGCGCTTTCGCTTCATCCTCGCAGTGGCCCCAGGAAGATTTGTCTTCTCTGTTTACAGATGAAGAACGCGAGGCCCAGGGCTGCCGCTGCTTCCGTGGGGGGTTGGGGGTGGGAAGCCCTGATTGGAACCCCGTGGGTTCAGATTTGGGGGCCCGCTTGCTAGGAAGACCGCTGTTCTGCCTCTGCCTGAAGCTGCTGGAGCAGGGGTCGCTACGGCAGTGTGAGGGGACAGCAAGGAGCTTGGGGCCACTTGATTCTTTCATGTTCCGCCCCCATGTCCTTGCAGCCGTGCTTTCTCGTAGGAGGTTCGGGAGGGAGACGGGAACGTGTGTGCGCTGCCCAGTTAACCACAGTGCTGGCTCTCTGCTCTTCTGGACGGTGGCCGCCCACCAATCTCATCCGTCTGGGGGGAAGGGGGCACTGCTGGGAGGCCTGCAAGGGCCGGGTTTTGAGTCCCTGGTGGGTGATCTTGGGAACTTGTCTGACTTGTAGGCCACTTTCCTTGGCGTGCTGTCCCCAGTCTCACGCAGCCCCTGCTCCCAGCTCAGTGGCCTGAAGCCCCATGTGGGCAGGCCCTCACCCCAGCAGAGCTGTCGTGTAGGCCGCGTGGGCTGAGTGCCCGGATCCCTTCCCGGGCACGGCTCACCATTGCTTTTTGCTTCTCTCTTCCGAAAGGCTTCATGTTTTAGTATATGTGCTGCCGAAGGGAGCACAAGGCTTCATGTTTTATACCAGTAGAGTACTAATGAGCATGTTCATTTTCTTCTCACCGTTTTGCTCTTATACGGCACTTTCCACCTGACACAGCAGGGGCTCCTGGAACTCGCCACCTAGTGTTGTTAGGACTTCTAGAAAAATCGGGCACTGTTTTGGGGTTTGATGAAGTCTTACTGATTTGAAAGATGGGGGTGGGAGTGATGCAGAAGCACTGTATTTATTTACTTATTTATGATTTATTAGAGAGAGCGAGCGAGCGGGGGAGGGACAGACAGACAGGGAGAGAGTATCTCCAGCAGACTGCGCTGAGCACAGAGCCTAACGTGGGGCTCGATTTCACGACCCCGAGATCATGATCTGCTTGAGCCGAAACCAAGAGTTGGATACTCAACTGATTGCACCACCCAGGCGCCCCAGTTTATTTATTTATTTAAAGGTTTTATTTATTTGACAGAGAGAGACACAGAGAGAGAGGGAACACAAGCAGGGGGAGTGGGAGAGGGAGAAGCAGGGCTTGATCCCAGGGCCCTGGGATCATGACCTGAGCCAAAGGCAGACGCTTAACGACTGAGCCACCCAGGCGTCCCTTTATTTATTTTTTTAACTAATCTCTGCACCCAGCGTGGGGCTCGCACTCACAGTCCTGAGATCAAGAGTCGCACGCTCCACTGACTGAGCCGGCCAGGTGCTCCTCGCTTCATTTCTTATTGGCAGAAATTCCTAATTTAGCAACGGTTTTTTGTTTATTAACTTTCTTCAATAGGTGATGCAGTTGCGTGGTACAAAATCCATAAAGTACGATAGAGTATATGGTGAAAAGTTTCCTGTGCCCTGTGCCCCCCGGTAACCCGTTGCGGGAGCAGCAAATGCCGTTTCTGTCTTCTCCCAGGGGGGGGTCTGTGCTCTACACTCCTACGCATCTCGCTTTCTTCCTTTAACAACAGGTAGCTCATCGTCTTTCGGACAAGTGCCCCCGACCCATCTTAATGCTGCATATGGATGTGTCATGAGCCCTTGGGCTGTTTTCAGTCTTTTTGTGATGTTTTAAAAAAACAGTTTGTTCCAGCTGGCGTATCTCATCAAGATGACATGCACATTTCTCATGCGTTCAGTTGCATATGTGGCTGGGGGCCCCGTCCTGGGCGGCAGAGTCAGGAGGTGAGGGGTGTGGAGGTCTCCGGGCTGTCTGCTTCCCCACTCCCTCAGCCCCACTTGGCCCCTTGGCAGCCTTCTCTGGGTTTTCTGCCTATGGGGGCGCACTGGACAAGCCTGTGGCTCATAGCGTGGAGGAGGCGGG